CCAACAGACCCCACAGAAACACAAAGGATTGTTACAAAATACTACAAACAACTTTATTCCAACAAACTGGACAACCTGGAGGAAATGGACATATTCCTAGAAAAATATAACTTTCCAAAACTCAATCAGGCAGAATATAAACAGCTCAATAGACCAATAACTATGGAAGAACTTGAAGCAGTCATCAAAAACCTTCCAGCAAACAAAAGCCTGGGCCAGTGGAGTTTTACCAAACATTCAAGAAAGAACTAAAACTATCCTCCTCAGACTATTTCAAAAAATTCAAGAGGAATAAACACTTCTAAACCCCTTCTATGAAGCCAGAATCACCCTAATACCAAAATCAGGTAAAGACAACACAATGAAAGAGAATTACAGGCCAATATGAACATAGATGCCAAAATCCTCAACAAAATTCTAGCAAGTCAGACCCAGCAGCACATTAGAAAGATCATATACCATGACAAAGTAGAATGTATCCCAAGTATGCAAGGATGGTACAGTATCTGCAAATCAATAAACATGATTCATCACATAAACAAATTGAGAGATAAAAATCATAGTCATATCAATTGATGCAAAAAAAGCATTTGACAAAATCCAACACTTTTTCTTGATAAAAACTCTCAGCAAAGGGGAAGTAGAAGGATCATACCTCAACATAATAAAAGCTATCTATGATAAACCCACAGCTAACATCATACTCAATGGACAAAAACTAAAACCATTTTCCCTAAGAACAGGAACAAGACAGTGATGCCCACTCTCACCACTCCTGTTTGACATAGAACTATATTAGCCATTGCAATTAGATAAGAAGAAGAAATAAAAGGCATCCAAATTAGAAAAGAGGAAGTAAAGTTGTCCTTATTTGCAGATGACATGATATTATACATAAAAAACCCAAAAGACTCCATCAAAAAACTCACAGACTTAATAAATGAATTCGGCAATGTAGCAGGATACAAAATTAACTCCAAGAAATCTATGGCATTTTTATACACCAACAGTGAATGAACTCTCCAAAAATCCATCTGGAATAAAAAAAGACCCTGAATCACCACAGCAATCCTGAGGAAAAAAAAAACAAAGTAGTTAGGATCTCACTATCAGATTTCGAGCTGTATTATAAAGCCACTGTTCTCAAAACAGCCTGGTACTGGCACAAGAACAGACATATAGATCAATGGAATAGAATAGAGAATCCAGATATCAACCCAAGCCACTATGCTCAATTAATATTTGACAAAGGAGGCAAGAACATATAATGGACTCAAGACAGTCTCTTCAATAAATGATGTTGGGAAAATTAAAGAGATAAATGCCAGAAAATGAAACATGATTACCAACTTACACTATACACAAAAATAAACTCAAAATGGATACAGGACTTAACATAAGATGGGAAACCATAAAAATACAAGAGGAATTCACAGGCAGCAAAATCTCAGACATATGCTGAAAGAACTTCTTCACTGATACTGCTGAAAACTTGACTACTATTTTACTGTCAAATTTAATACCCTAACAACAATCTTAGTTTACCCTGTAAATATCAGAGGAAAGGATATCTTGCATTCTTTAGTAGGCTCTGAGCATTTCTGGTGCTAGGCTGGATTTAGATATAGGGCAGCTGTTGTTGGCCAAGTCTCTGTCTGTTGCCTGGGTTCCAATCTGAGCTGGGCATGGGAAGTGAAGCAGCCATGAGGTCAGGAGATTTCCCTCAGAAGTGGTAAGGGTTAAAGCCCTTACAATGTTAGGGGGTGAGGGTTCCCTACCTTTGTTGACCCCAAAGTTATCTCCTGATTGCCCCTCTGTGACTGTGCCTGTCTTAGGTTGTTCCTTTCTGGAGAAATCTTACCCATCTCTGGCTAACCAGCCATCCTCCAGGGCAAAGTAGGTTGATGTGAGATTTAGTTCTGTCTCCTTGGTAGGCTATGCCCTCATAGCTTCCATGTCCAGCACCTGCCTTGGGATACCCTCGCCTGCTGGCGGGGCCCCAGCACTGATCACATATCTTGGGGAAACCAGGTTTCTTCTTCAGGGAGGCCCAGCTCACACCATTGGGCAAGAGACAGATCCATGGTACCAGCCACCACAACGCTTCAATCTTAGCATGAACAGAAAGCTCAGGCAACAACTGTGAGCAATTGGATTGTTAGAAGAGCAACCCTCTTGGCAAAATGGGTGCTTTCTAGGGGGCCCTCTACACAATGGAAGGGATTAAATCTTTCCACGTCCTTTGTAAATTGCTGCCAAACTTAGTTTGAAGTTTGTTTGAGATAATTGTACGATATGCTATTGTAATTCTAAAATATCAAGAGTTGTGTTACCTTTGTCTTTAAGCACCAAGAAGACGATTTTTTATTGATTCCTAAGGGTGTGAGGTACTTTATAGGTAATGGGGGTAACAGAAATCTGGGGGAAATGTAATGACATTGTAGAATAATATCATACAAATATATTCTTTGTTCTAGGCCATGGCAATTTAATTTCAAACTGGCTGTCAATTTCTTTTTGTATAGACAAGGTCTTAGTTACATTTTTGCACCTCTCCCAGGAGCAAGTAATGATAAGACGTATTTTTGCTTTTGCCTCCCCTTCTTTGGTGCCCATGTAACCAGAAGCCTCTCTTTAATTTTATACACAAAGGAGCAGTGGTTTGATTTTTGTGTCATACAAAAAAAGGGAGGCTGGGTGGAGACCCCTGTGTAATTATTTCCTTGCCCCACCCATGTTCCTCCTGGATAACCTAGGTGTTTGGTATTATTGGTGACTACATTAGGTGGGGGATCAGCCCACATAAGGGTTCTTACCCATGAAGGGTTTGGAACATATGTCCAAAATACTTCCCAATTTGCCCCAGGTAATATTACCATACAGCTGATTACTGCTAGCATGGCAAGAAAGACAGATGTTCTCAGGCATTATGTATCGTCTTCTTTCCCATGCCCCAGGTGGTCTCTGAGCTGTTTGTGGTCCAGCTCATCTTCCTCCTGCTCCTCATCCTTAGTGGATTGCTTGGAGTCGCTACTCTCTGTGGCTGAGGTAGTTGATTGCCTGCAGCTGCATGGTGTGGCTCCAGGCACAAGGTCCTCATTAGTATAGCTAGTTTCTCTCTTGGATCCCTGTTGCAGTTTAATATTTCTAACATGAATCCACATGGGTTTGGAAAAATTCTCTGGAAATATACAAGCATAACCTCTGCCAAAGGTTAATAATGGATCAGGTCCCTTCCATAAACCAGATTTGGGATCTTTTCATTTAACTAGAGCATTTTCTTTTGTTTTATTCTGACACCAATGTAGCTGCATAGGTGTCCTTCCATCAGCATCACAAGTGAAAAAATTTAAAGTAATTAAGGCTTGGTGGAGCCTACCTGCAGGTGATTTCTCCATCATCCCCCCATTTTGTTTTTTAAGTTGGGATTTTAGCTGCTGATGCTGTCGTTCAATAATGGCCTGTCCTTGGAAATTATTATATATGGTATTCCTGTAATGTGCTGAATTTTCCACCTTTTACAAAATTCCTAGAATTGACAGCTTGTGTAAGCAGGTGCCTTATCAGTTTTTTAAAAAATATATATATTTTAGTGATTTTTTACAGAGAGGAAGAGAGAGGGATAGAGAGTTAGAAACATCAATGAGAGTGAATCATCGATCAGCTGCCTCTTGCACACCCCCTACTGGGGATATACCCACAACCAAGGTACATGCCCTTGACTAGAATCAAACCCGGGACCTTTTAGTCCGCAGTCCGACGCTCTATTCATTGATCCAAACCGGTTTTGGCACATTATCAGGTTTTTTTTTGTTGTTGTTGTTTTAATATATTTTATTGATTTTGTACAGAAAGGAAGGGAGAGAGATAGAGAGCTAGAAACATTGATGAGAGAGAGTCATCGATCAGCTGCCTCTTGCACACCCCCTACTGAGGATATGCCCGCAACAAGATACATGCCCTTGACCACAATCGAAACCGGGTCCCTTCAGTCCCCAAGCCGACGCTCTATCCATTGAGCCAAACCGGTTTCAGCCGCATTATCAGTTTTAATAATTTTTGGAACTCACATGATGGCAAAAGCAGCTAGGAAATGATTAATAACCTATATTTGAATATTTGCTATTTCTCCTATAGATGCAGTAGTCCATATTACTTTTGAAAAGGTGTCTACAGAGACATGTAATGCCCCAAGTTGTCCAAAGGAAGTATAACACATTATATCCATTTGCCAGATATAGTCTCTTAGCAAACTTCTAGGCTTGACTCCTGTGTTAGGCCCTTGAGGTAGATATAACATGCAAGTGGAACATCCTTAATAATCTGTTTTGCCTATTGTCAAGAGATTGAGAATTGTTTAGACAGCATTTTTACAGGCTGCTGTAAAAGCTGATGAGATACTAAGGTTTCTTTTAATAAAACAACCAATTGAACAGCATGTGCATTTCCTTTTGTTAAAGGACCAGGTAATACGCTAGGAGCCCTGATGTGAGTGATATGAAAAGGATATTGTCTCTGTTAAACAATCTGCTGAACTTGTTTAAATAGTAAAAATAAACTTTGGTCACTAAGTCATTTCAGGCTGCAGAGAACCAAATGTCTGTGGACATTTCCAGGGTGTTCCTACACCCTGGGTATTAAGAATAGGTACGGATACCATGTTGGTTTTCCTCTTTAAACTGTAAGCTCCTCAAGAGCTGGACCACTGCTTCATTCATTTCTGTTCCTCCATCACTTCACACAGTGGCAGGTACACAGTTGAGCTCAAGTAAAATAAATGGAATGAAAAATTTTCTGCATTGGATGGAACCTTAAAAAACTGACAGGCCAGTGTTTTGCAACTTCCAAACTACATATTACGAGGTAAAGTTTTACCTGTCTAGCAGGAGTTCTACTATATTATGAAAGTAAGAATATATTAGTTTTTATTAAATGTCTACTCTTCAAACCCAGGTCTTTATTATTCTAGAGACTGAATTGTTAATCATCTATACCAGGGGTTCTCAAACTTTTTAAAGTGGGGGCCAGATCACGGTCCCTCAGAGAGCTGGAGGGCCGGACTATATGAACTTAAAATTCCTACCCACACTGCACATACCTTATTTCGCAAAAAGGTAACAAATACAATATAAATAAAATGAAGAACATTTATAAATAAACAGATCACTTACCAGTATTTCAATGGGAACTGTGGGCCTGCTTTTGGCTAATGAGATGGTCAATGTCCAGTTCCATATTTGTCACTGCTAGTCGTAACAAGTGATGCAAGTGAGCATCAGTTAATCTTGATCTGGTTGGAGATTTCAGATGTTTCATTCTTGAAAAAGTCTGTTCACAGACATAAGTGCTACCAAGGATGGTTACTATTTTGAGTGCATGGTTCCTGATATTTGGATATGTCTCAGAGGGGAGAGATGCATAGAAATTCAGAAGGCTACTTGACTTGAATGCGTCTTTCAGAGAGTCACAATTCTGCAGTTCAGCAAGTTCCATTTGGTAAATTGTAAGGACATTTTCAATCTCAACAGAAAATGGGTTACGAAAAAGCTGTATGTCCTGTTCATGGAGATGAAGCTCTTTGAATCTAAATTGAAACTCCTTTTGCAACAATTCCAGTGAATCCACACATGTTTTCTTTGGGAATGCAACCAATGGTTTGTCCGCTGACAGGTTTTGAATTGTTGGGAGATGGCTGAAGTTTTCCTCCTTTACTTGTTTGATGAGAAGGCCTAATTTTACTTCAAATGCTTTCACATGCGATGCCATATCACAGATGAACTTCCCCTTTCCTTGAAGTTGCAGACTGAAACTGTTGAGTAGCTCTGTTATATCTGTCAGAAAGGCAAGGTGCCATTTCCATTCTGCATCATTGAGCTCTGGTACTTCTTTGTTTTTTGAAAGTAGAAAAGCTGTAATCTGCGGAAGTAAGTCATAGAAACATTTCAAAACTCTCCCTCTACTCAGCCAACGGACTTCTGTGTGGTACAGAGCATCCTCATGGGCAACATTTAGCTCAGACAGAAATTCCTGAAATTGTCTGTGGTGTAGTGCATGAACTCTAATGAAATTAACACAAGATACCACAATTTTCATAACAGAGTCCCACTTCAGTGATTTAAAACACAGCGCTTGTTGGTGGATGAGGCAGTGTATGGCAATTGGATGAGGATGGTTATGTTTGTCCATCTCTTGTTTAACGTGAGCAATTACTCCTCTCTTAGACCCCACCATGCTAGGAGCACCATCAGTTGTCACACTGGCTAGTTTAGCCCAGTCCAGCTCCAAACCATTCACAGTTTGGCAAACCTTTTCATATATATCCACTCCTGTGGTTGTACCTTTGATACTTTGCAGTGCAGCAAGCTCTTCTGTGACTTCAAAATACTCATTTGTCCCACGCATAAAAATGAGAAGTTGGGCAGAATCACGAACATCATTGCTTTCGTCGAGTGCCAAGGAAAAATAGCAAAGTTTTTTTGCAGAGTTTTGCAAATGGTGCTGCAAATTGTCTCCCATTTCTTCAATCCTTCGTGTCATTGTAGCTCCTGAAAGACTCACTGTACTAAATAAATCGGCCTTCTCTGGACACATCTCTTTGGCAACAGAAAGAAGGCATTCTTTAACAAATTCTCCCTCCACAAATGGTCTGCCATTGCGCGCTATTAGCTTGGCAACTTGAAAACTTGCCTGCAGTGATGAAATATTTAGCTGCTTCTGCTTCACAAAAGTATTTTGCTGAGTTGTCAGTGTATGTTTCAGTTTTAATATTTTATCTTTTCTCACTTCTCCGACCAAACAATCATATTTATCTTTATGTTGAGTTTGATAGTGGCGTCGCAAATTGTATTCTTTGAACACAGCAACTATATTCTGGCATATCAGACACACAGCTTTTTCTTTGTACCGCGTGAAAAAGTAATCATAAGTCCACTGTTCTTTGAATATCCTACACTCGGAGTCAATTTTTCTTTTTCTTGACATCATTGTTTCCTAGGGATTCCAAATTGCTATTAGTAAAATACTAATATGTGTGTGTATATGTATATATATATATATACACACACACAGTGTATGAACTCCCATTAGTAGGTCTCTGCCCCTGATGTGGACACTTACCTCTTGCAGGCTTTTCTAAGCAGACCAGCTCAGTCCCTGATGGGGTTCGGTTATATCTCCCTATATAACGGCCAAATTGATATGTTCGGAATCAGCATGTGAACACTGAAAAGGAAATGCAAAATGCATATAAAATTTTTAATGTAAACCCCTTTAAAAGGCTTTAATCGTCTTTTTACACTGCAGTTGACTTTCTGGTTTGGAATGGGCCTGGCTATATTAGTAGGAAGATGCGATCAGGGTTGCCTCATGGAAAAAAAAAGGCTGTTGGCTGGGGCGGCATGCTGTCAGTCTCAATTCTTCCACAAAGAGACTTGGTCCAAGCCCCCCCGACCCCCCACCTGGCAGAATTTTGATTTCTCATATCAGCACCGAACACCTTCCCCCCAAAACTGGCAGAATTTTCCATATGGGCAATTCAGCACCGAAGCCCTGACCTCCCAACCCCCCCCCCCCCGCCCACCCCCCAACTGGCAGAATTTTGATTTCAGCACCGAACACCCCACCACCCCCCCCAAAGGGGAATTTTCATATGAGTCACCAACCCCCCACCCCCCAATCAGGCAGAAACCCCCCATCTGGCAAAAATTTCTTTCTATGGCACTTTCGACCGACCTTTGGTGAAGGCAGTGGAGGGAGAGGAGGAGAACCTCACTGACAGGCAGGCACAGCACACAGACACCACGTTGCCTGGGGGTGAAGCGGGCGCCTTTTTACATCATTGCCGCGCAGCACAGCACAGATGTGTCTGTGCGGCGGCACATCGCACGCTCTGAGCCCAGCAGGCACTGTGCTCTTAAAGAGGCAGAGGGGTCAGAGCGGCCGTGCAGTGACAGTGTATATGCAGGTCCTGGCGGCCGAACTGTAACACCTCGGCTGCGCTCACTGCCCAAAAAACCTGGCGGGCCGGATCAGACTCCTCTGCGGGCCGCATGTGGCCCGCGGGCCGTAGTTTGAAGACCCCTGATCTATACAATAAAGAGGTAATATTCAAATTGACCATCACTCCAATACACAAGATGGCTGCCCCATGTGGTCAAAGATGGCCACTCCATGTGGACACAAGATGGCTGTCACAAGATGACCTACAGGGGAGAGAAGTTGGGAGAATCAGACCTGCAGGAGAGGGCAGTTCGGGCAGTCATTTCAACTGGGCAATTCTATTCACTAAATTTGCATAATAAAAGGAATCAGAGACGATATTAAGAGGCTCTTGGAAATCCTGCAATGCAGCCTTAATAGCTTCTAGTTCAATTCTTTGTACAGAAGTATTACTGGTCAGTATGACTCAGTCTGAATTTATTGTATCATAGGAAGCTTTCCCATTAGATGATCCACCAGTAAAAAGTTAAAGTTCCAGGAATAGGTTTCTGCCTAGTATTGTTTGGTATAATGATGAAGGCATTATATAAAAATTGTAGTAATTTGGTAGAAACCAAGATGGCAGCATAAGGTAAACACCTAAATGTAGCCTACCACAACAATTTTAAAATTACAACTCGAAAACAGAGTGGACATCATCCAGAAACACCAGAAAGCTGGCTGAGAGGAAGCTCTACCAACTAGGAAAAAAAAAGAGGGAGGGACGCTGAGCCTCAGGAGCTGTGGAGGTGCGGAGATTCGTGAGTGCAGAAAGGGCGAGTGGCTGAATATGCCATTGGATCACTTGTGGCGCACGCGGGAGGGTGGGCAGCTAACATGGCTAGTTTTTTCGTTGAAGAGAAAAACAAAACCTCCTGATTGCACTGATAGCCAGCTCTTGTAGGAGAGAAATTGGACTGTCAGGAAGCAGGTAAAACTCGAAAGGAACCTTCTCTCAGAGGTGTGTGTGGCCAGCAGCCATTGCTCGGGACTCGGAAAACAGGGCCCTCTTAGGGCAGGATTGATGGGAAACCAAAGCTTGTTTGCACCACCCTGAGACTCTGCCCCATCCAAGCTGAGCACAGAAACCCTCCTAGCAGAGACACGGTTGATCCTCACAGCCATTTGACTTAGAGATCAACTCTCCTTATTGATACCAACAACAAGCAAGGCTTAACTACAACAAGACTGCTCATACAGCCCACAAAGGGCTGCACCAAGAGGATCCATCACAGGAAACTGGGGAGGCTGGGGTACTGGACCCTGCTAGAACACTTAGCATGCAAAACCACTCCATCAACTCAGGGATGCAGCTAAAACGCAGAGAAAAAGAGGCAGGCCTCAATTGAAGGAAATGGAGGAAAGCAAAAGGATGAATATAAAATTCAAAAACCACAGTTTTAAGGCTTTACAAGAATGTCTTAGGAAAGGCTGATAAATTAAACAAGACCCTTGAGAATATGAAAAGGGATCAACTAGAAACTAAAGAGAAAATAAACAAATCGGACTACATAAAAATAAAAAGTTTCTGCACAGCAAAAAAAACTACCAACAAAACAACAAAAAAGCTCACTGCATGGGAGAACATATTTTCAATGTAATCTCCATAAGGGTTTAATCTCCAATATTTTCAGGGCCATCATACAATTTAAGAAAAGGAAGATCAACAGCCCAATCAAAAAATGGGCAATGAATCTAAATAGATACTTTTTGAAAGAGGACATAAAGAAGGCCAAGAGACATATGAAAACATGCTTAAAAAGTCACTTGCAATCTCTAAAATGTACATCAAAACGACAATGCAGTACCATTTCACACCTGTCAGAATGGCTGTCATTAACAAATCAACAAATGGCAAGTGCTGGCAAGGATTTGGTGCAAAAGGAACCCTTGTGCACTGTTGGTGGGAATTCAGACTGGTGCAGCCTCTGAGAGAACAGTATGGAGTTTCTTCAAAAAGCTAAAAATGGAACTCCCATTTGACCAAGTGATTCCACTTCTAGGAATATATCCCAAGAAACTAGAAATACCAATCAGAAAAATATGTGCACCCCTATGTTCATAGCAGCACAATTCACCATAGCTCAGATTTGGAAACAGCCTAAATTCCCTTCCACAGATGAGTGGATTAGAAAACAATGATACATCTACACAATGGAATACTACACTGCTTTAAAAAAAGAGGGAATTATTTTTAAATATATATCTTTTATTGAGTTTTTTCAGAGAGGAAGAGAGAAGGATAGAAAGCTAGGAACATCAATGAGAGAGAAACATCGATCAGCTGCCTCTTGCACACCCCCTACTGGGGATGTGCCCACAACCAAGGTACATACCCTTGACTGGAATCGAACCTGGGACCCTTCAGTCTGCAGCCTGACACTCTATCTATCCACTGAGCCAAACCGGTTTTGGCAAGAAGGAATTCTTACCATTTGCAGCAGTATGGATGGAACTGGAGAGCATTATTCTAAGCAAAATAAGCCAGTCAGTGAAGGAGAAATACCACATGATCTCACTCACTTATGAATAATTAAGAACATTATAACCTGATGAACAAAAAGAATGATACTGAGGCAGACAATCATCAAACAAACGGTCATATTACAGTGGGAAAGCTGAGGATGGGGGAGAGAGGTAAGAGGACAATCAAAGGACATGTATGTATGCATATAAGCATAACCAATGGACACAAGACACTGGGGGTTGAGGGTACATATGTGAGTGGGATGGAGGGGCAAGGTAAGGATATAAACACATGTAATACCTTAATCAATAAGAAAAATTAAAAAGGAAATAAATAAATAAAGTTTTCATCTTTTAAAAATATATCAAATGTAGAATTGCCTTTTGATCCAGCAACCCCACTTCTAGAAATATATTTTAGAATTCTGAAGCACCAATAAGAAAATTATTTGCACCCCTATGTTCATAGCATCATTATTTATAATAATTAAGATCTGAAAACAGCCCATCAATAGATGAGTAGATAAAAAAAAAAAAAAAAGTTGTGGTACATTTATATAATGGAATACTATGTAGCTGTAAAAAAGAAGCCAACTTCTTTTTCTCTGTCTGAACAAAACTTGCCTAGTTCTCACTTTCACCTGGCCTTGGGTCTTCAAAATTTTCCTCCATGTGTCAAGAACCTAGAGGTTTCCTGACATGCAAAAGGGCCAGCCACTGCCAAAGAAGTGGTCAGGTAACATACTTATTTTTTTTCTCTCTTTATATGCTTTATATTTATATTTCAACATTATTCTATCTATGGTCAGAGTCACTTGGGACAGACAAAATCAGTATTTGGATAATTGAGGTAAATGCAAATTTTTAAAAACTAAATTATTGAAACAGACTAATTTTTAATGAAAATATTTTCTGATTAAAATTATACTAAATTTTTATGTCATTAATGTAATAATGTAAATTGATAATTTGAATACTTATTTTAAAGGTTAATACTACATTAGTTTTATATTTCATTGGTTCTAAAAGTAAGAGAAAAGAGTAAACAAAAAGCAGAGGAATCTGCTCTAAAGAATACATTTATCTCCATTCTTATGATAAGCTCTTTAAAGAGTTTTCTAAATATGAGATTCTTATAAGCTCTTTAAATTGTTTTCTAGATATGATATATATGAGATATATATACTATATACACACACACACACACACACACACACACACACATATATATATATATATATATATATATATATATATATATATATATCCCTTTATAGTTCTCTAAAAAAATAACTGTATTACTTCTGAGCATCCATAAAGTTTTATGAGCCATCATTTAAAGAAAAATTATTACATTCTGAGATCTTCTATTTAGGTCAAGACAACATAAGCATCACTTGATACCATCTGTACAGGCTTATATATTAATCACTTCCAAGTTTCAGAAGCCATGGTAAGAACATATGATAAACTATATCAACAGCCATAAGTGCTGTGGTATAAAGTATAGAAACTACATCAAGAAAGGCAGCACTGCTCTTCCTCAGCACTGCCAGTAGAGGTGGAAACCATCTCCTACTTAGCATGATAGCTGACCTCAGACCCCTTGTGAAACCCAAAATTGTCCAAAAGAGGACCAAGAAGTTCATCTGGCACCAATCAGATCAATATGTCAAAATTAAGTGCAACTGGTGGAAATCCAGAGGCATTGACAATAAGGTGCACAGAAGATTCAAAGGCCAGATCTTGACACCCAACATTGGCTATGGGAGCAACAAGAA